TTGAGGGGAAAAAGGAATCAAACCTCAGGAGCAGCCCCTGGTCCAGGTCCAGCCCCTGGAGGTGCTCTTCTGACCCTGGAGCTCCTGCGGGTGTCCCGTGGGACAAGATTTCAATGCTGCGTATCACGGTGCCTGCTGGAAAGCAGCCGGCCAAGGTCCCGGCAGTGCTGCTGTGTGTGCTCTAACCTGGCCACACGACTTCCAGAGCATGACCCAGCCTGTTTAGCAATCGCTGGGGTGCTTTCTACACCGTGCCACACAGCCCAGATCCTTTGCCTGTAGCATGGGAATAAGCCCCTGGCCCCACTACAGAGAGGCACATCTGTGATGGGAGAGTCATCCCCAAAAGAAATGCAAAAGAAAAAGCTGCTGGGAAAGCATTTGGGAGCAGATAGGAACGTTTTCTGCAAGGTGACGTGGTGCACTTGCCACGAGGTAGACAGGATGCAGATAAACCCCGCTGGACTCATCCAGATGTGTAATACATTGGTGAGGCACCACTCTGTGCTTTGCTTTGGCAAAGGATGATCCAAACCCAGCTATACACTCCATGCAGAGGTCAGCACCACCTTCCCCATGTGCAGAGGGAATTATCAGGATACTTTTGTTTATCAGTTTTCTTTGTTTTAATAAAGAGAAGACCCCACAGGAGTTGGAAATAAGCAGCACGTCCCCAGAAGCGCACCCCCTGCCTACTGCACTGAAGTGCCAGCTAGTATGGGACTCCCTCCTATTCCAGCTTTAAGAGCCATAAAAGCGTTCCAAGGCTGGAGAAGACCAGAACAGCAATCTGGACAGAAAACGATTCATAAATCCTGGAAACACAAATGATGTGCCTGCCAATTCCAAGGCCGACACGTGCCAGGAGGCTGCGTGGAGGCTCCCCCGGCGATCTGGAGAGCATCCCCCTTCCTAACCCTGCTTGCAAAAGCAGCTTTCATCACCCAGAGGTGCCCCAAACTTTAAGGAATTGCAGCAGTTTTAGTGGGGGAACGATCACATCGAAGCTTTACAAACAAACTCACGCCAAGAGACCACTGATCTCAACCAGAAGCAGTGGGTGGGAGGGATGAATATGAGACGCTTTGGGGTGAAAAAGAAGGGCTTCCTTTTGCAGAGCCTGGAAAAAAAACCACTCATTTCACCGAGGCAGGGAAGAAAAGACCCTAAAAAGTGTGTTTCTGCATGTGGAGATCCAGCAAGGGCTGCCACGAGGCTGCCAAGGTGCTTTAAGGTGACGAAGGAATCTTCCAGGGGCTTTCAAACGATCATACTAACACAAGGGGCCATTTTATTCTATAGTCTTAAGAGCACAGTACTTTAGAACAACTTCTACCTCTCTGAAACTGTAATTTTTTAGCAAATCAGAAGTTAGGACTGGAAAACTGGAGCGCAGACAGAGCTGTACTGAATTAAGCAGGGCATTTCCCACTGGTTTACTGGCCCCACATCTTTTAGCACACCTGATGAATACACAAGCAACAAGTCAGAGAAGAAACATAAGGTCTTGGGTCATCCTGGAGCTCCACTTTAGCACATGAACCAGGTTTTGGTCCCTCCAGATCATGCAGGAGATTAAAGATCCAAGCACAGCACGAGATGTAGTTAATAACTCGCTCCAGTGCTATTTTATACACATTATTTTGCTGTTTTGCACCATTTTAGTGGCCCAAATAAAGTTGTTTCTTCAGGGACAGACCCTTCCCTCAGAGACGTTATTAGCACAAATAACAACGATTAAAACTCATTCTGAGCCCGGGCCAGGAGAGATAGTATCAAGTTAAGCAGATGTCAAGCACGTTCCTGTTTTGAGCTCTATCTGAATCCCAGGAAAACCCTGAAGCGTTTCTTTGTGGATATACAAGAGGCTAAAGAAATAAACGGGCTGAAACGTCAAGTGCGGGGCTGTGACAAGTGCACGGCGCGGCGTGGAGGGGACACGTACAAAGGGAAGCCGGCTCGCTACGACAATCGCGTAGAAATCAACGCGGGGGAGAGGAGCTCCCGGGTTTCCGTACATCCGGATGTCGCTCCAACAGGTCCCCAGGGTATCGACTGAGAAAACCGCGGCGGGGGCTCTCCGAAAAGCCACAGGAGAGCCCCCAGCGGCGTCAGTGCCGTTGCGAGTGGGCGCGGGGCCGCTGCGGGGCCCTTTGAACGGCAACTTCAGCGGGAAGTTAGGGCGGGCGGGCGGACACCGGGGCCGGGGGAGCCTCGTCCTTCCCCCCCCCGCCCCCTTAACTCCTGGGATCCCCACCGGGGGGAGGAGCCCCGGCGAAGGACCCATCTTGCAATGCGGCCGGTACCGGGGGCGGGCAATGCGGGAGCGAGCCCGCGGGGGCGGTCCCGCCGCAGCCCGGGGAGCGGCACCGGGCGGAGGGAGGGCGGGCAGGCGGAGGGGCGGGAGCTGCCCGCCTCGCAGCGCGCCCAGCGGCCGCCGCACGCTCCGCCCGCCGCTCCCGCCATGCCGGGGCCGGGACACCCCCTTCGCGCACAGCGGGGCGGGGCCGGACGGACGCAAGACCGCCCGCGCGGGCCGGGCCTCCCCGGGGACGGGGAACAGGGACCGGACCCCCCCCCCCCCAAACCCTCCCACCACCACCGTTTGCTCCCCCGTACCCCCCGCCAGGCCCCGCCCCCTACGGGTCGCCGGAGGGGGCCGGCACCGGGCCTGGCGCCCTCCGAGCCCCCCCTCTCCCCGTGCTTTTCCCGCTTACCTCGAAGCGGGCCCTGGCTGCGGCCGAGTCTCCCTCAGGGTCAGGGGGCGGCGGGCCCCTCCCGGGCGGGCTGTCCCCGGTGAGGTGAGGTGGGGGGGAGGTCCCCGCGCCCCTCCTCCCGGAGGAAGGGGGCGGGCCGGGGCGGCACCGGAGCCCCGGGCGGAGGGAGGTGTGTGTGGGGGTTCTCCCGGTGGAGGGGGGGGGAAGATGGAGTAACCGTCTGTCGGCCGCCGCGGCGGAGCGCTGCCCGCTTCTCTGTTCCCCGGGAAATCCCGCCCCCCTCCGCTCAAGGGGGGGGGGAGCCGAGACCGCCTATTGCTCGGCCAGCACGCCTATCATCGGCGAAGCCAATCAGCGCCTTGAGCCCGCCTACCTTGCCGTCTCCTATTGGCTGAAGCCGCCAGGAAGGGGATGTGGAGAGGAAAGGGAGGGGAGTGTTGAGGGGGGGGGCGGGGGTACAGCGACCGCCGAAGAAAATGTCCGTATAAGCAGCGCGTCCCGCCCCTTTTCGGTGGTCCCGCCTCCTCCGCTTCCCTATTGGCTACGGGCGCAAAGCACTAACCAATGGGCGAGCGGCTTTCGCCGAGCGTCACGGCGGGGGGGAGCCCGCCCACGCGGCGGGACGAGGGTGGAATGTTTACATCGGCGCGCGCGGAAACCATTCCCCCCCCTCCCCACTCACGGAACGGGGGCACGTGCTCGCCGACAAGCCTCCCCCCCTCACCTCCCCGCCGCCGTTCGGCGGCGGGAGGTGAGGGGGGGGGTGGCTTGTCGGCGGCTCCCGGTGAAGCGGAAAGCGGCGGCTCCCGGTAAAGGCAACAGAGGCTGCGCTCCCTTTTGTCCCCCCCACCCCAACCCATTCACTTCCGGGATGGCAGCGCCCCCTGCGGGGCGGGCTGCTTACACGTGGGGGGGGGGGGGGGGTAACACGCACGCACGCACCGGAGAGAAGGGGAGGGGGGAGCCAGGCCCGCGCAACGCCCCGCAGCCAATAGGAACGAGGGGGCGTGGCCTAAGCGGACGCCCCCCCCGCCCCTCCCGCCGGTGGCCGTTGGTGCGCGCGTTACCTCAGCGGCTTCTTCCCGCCGCCGTGAGGGAGCGGGCGGGCTAAAGCGGCTCGTACCGACCGTTAACGGTGAACTCGATGGCAGTGAAGGAGGGGGGAACTCCCGGTGTCTTCCCCGTGTCCCCCCCCGCTTCCTCTCCGCCGCCGTAGCGAGCGTCACGGCCGTACCGCCCACCGCGGTTGGGGCGGCGGAGGGAGAGGCCTCACGGAGGAAGGGTGGGAGAGGGTGATCCCCCGGGCCTTCCACACAGCCGGTGCTGAACACGGGATGGTGTTGGTTTTTAATGTAATTCTGATTCTTTATTATTGTTAACCACATGGAGTTCAACAAGGCCAAGTGCAAGGTCCCACGGTTGGGGCAATCCCAAGCTACAGGCTGTGTGGAGAAGTGGTTCAGAGCCACCTGAGGAGCAGGACTTGGGGGTTTCGAGTGAGAAGATCACCATGGCCTAGTTTCAGTGTGTGTTTGAGCACAGGACACCCCCCGTGTGCTGGGCTGCACCCCTAGAGCGTGAGCAGCAGCTCCGGGAGGGGATCCTGCCCCTCTGCTGTGCTCTGGGGAGACCCCCCTGCAGCACTGTGTGCAGTGCTGGGGTCCTCAGCATAAGGACATGGAGCTGTTGGAGCAAGTCCAGAGGAGGCCATGAGGATGATCAGGGGCTGAAGCACTTCCTGTATGAGCTGAGACCATTGTAGCTGTTCAGCCTGGAGAAGAGAATCTGTGTGGGGACCTCAGAGCAGCTTCCAGTGTCTGAAGGGGGCTACAAGGATGCTGGAGAGGAACTCTTCATCAGGGACTGTAGGGACAGGACAAGGGCGATGGCTTTAACCTGCCAGAGAGGAGACTGAGATGAGCTCTTAGGCAGAAGCTCTTCCCTGTGAAGGTGCTGAGGCGCTGGCACAGGGTGCCCAGAGAAGCTGTAGCTGCAGTGTTCAAGGCCAGGTTGGACACAGGGGCTTGGAGGAAGCTGCTCTAGTGGAAGGTGTCCCTGCCTGTGGCAGGGGGTGGAGCTGCATGAGCTTTAAGGGCCTTTCCAACACAAACCAGGCTGGGATTCCATTATTATTTTTTTCCTCACAGCATTTACACAGTTGTGGAGGGAGTTGCACAGGCACCAGCCCCCTGCCGCCTGGAGAAGCCTGGCCTGGCCTGGTCACACTCCAGAGGGAGGAAATAAAGCTGCACACACTCCACACATCTCACTCACCTCTTTGGCTAGGAGCTGCAGCTCAGTTTAGGTGCTGGAAAGTCTGTGACTGGAGGTGCTTGACCCTGCAGGGGGGCTGCTGTGCCACCATGGAGCAGGCATAGGAAGCTGGTGGTGAGGAGGCCTGAGAAATGAAGCACTCCAGAGCCAGGCTGTTTCCACACTCCCAGGACCAATTACAAGCACTGGAGTAATGGTCATTAGGGAGGCAGTGCACATCCGGCCAAGAAACCCAGGAAGCCAAGTGAAACAGGTGGGCACAGGGATGGCATCGCCACTTTGGAATCTCCCTTTAAATCCCATCTGCAGTCTCTTTGCATTTCATGCTGGGGCTTGTTGAGGTTTAGGACATCCCCACTGTGACTTTTGCTGGCAGTGATTGATCCCCATCCCGGGGGTGCTCCAGGGAAAAGTTGATGCTGCAGGCAGGGCAAAGCAAATCTCCTCCCACCCCTCTCCAAGCAGTTCAAAGCTTCATTCCCAGTAGCACTTGGCTGTCCGCATGAAGTGGCCGTTTCCACAGAAATCCCAGTGCCAAGCAGGACCTGCTGGCACAGGGAGGAGGAGGGGATGGAACAAACCCTCGTGTTGTGCAGAAGCACTGAAAACACCAGCTTTGACAAGAAACACAGCCTTGGTAATTGGTGGGGGGGGGGGGGGGGAGTGTTTGGGTTGTTTTCCCATGGAAAATGCTTACAACCCTTTCCTCCGCCTCCAGCACAGATGGGATCTTGTCCCTCCTTGCAGGGAGCTGCTGAGGTCTACGACAGCGTATTCCAGCAATTCCCATTCAGAGCCAGTGTTTTCCCTTTCCACTGTGCTGCCCAAAGGCAGCCAAGGGAATCCTCTGTCTGTCTCTGCTGTCATTTGCCTGTTGAAGGCCTCTGGGCCAGTTACAAACCCTCCAACCCTCCAGTTTAAAGTCCAACCCCACCGACTGCTGCTCTTATCACAAGAAGAGTTGAAAAGGGAAACATTCTAAAAGGCAAAAAAGAAAAATTAAGCTTAAAATAAATATATATTAACATGAACCTGAAGTGCCTTTTGATTAAACAGCCTCCTTTACAGTGTTGCCTGGTGTTCTGCCATAATGCTGACGGGCAGCCAGGACATGGGTCTCTTGGAAATGCTCTGGTTCTCCGTGCCCTCATCACACAGAATTCAGCTAAAAGGCACAACTGCCTTTACCCTTGCACACAGAGTGGGGCTGGGTGGGATTCCACAGCCTGGGAAAGGGACACAGGGCACAACCTAAAGCTGGGCTGTGGTCCTAGCACCTTGCTGAAAGCCCAAGGAGAGCTACTGCTCACAGCACAGGCCTGAAAATGACGCGCAAACACCCCCTTCCTGAATCATGGAATCGCTGAATCAACGAGGTTGCAAAAGCCCTTTAAGCTCCTCCAGTCCAACCATTGCCCAGCACTGCCAAGGCCACCACTAACCCACGGCACTGAGGCCTCGTCTCCACGCTGTGTGAACACTTGCAGGGACGGTGACTGCAGCCCTGCCCTGGGCAGCCTGTTCCAATGCCTGAGCACCCTCTGGGGAAGGAATTGTTCCTCAGCTCCATCTAAACCTGCCCTGGTGCAGCTTGAGGCCGGTTCCTCTTGTCCCATCCCTTGTTCCTTGGGAGCAGAGCCCAGCCCCTCCTGGCTCCATCCTCCTGTCAGGCAGTTGCAGGGAGCGATCAGGTCCCCCGAGCCTTCTCTTCTCCAGACAACCCCCCAGGTCTATCAGCCGTTCCCCATCACACTTGTGCTCCAGGCCCTGCACCAGCTCTGCTGCCCTGCTCTGGATTTCCTGCACACGTGCCAACAGGAAAGCCCAGCTGGGTAAAGAAAGGGTGCTGGGATCCTTCTTCCCAGGGATGAGGAGCTCCCTTGGATGCTGGAGCTGCCCTGCAACAGGGACTGGGAGGGAAACTCCAGGCCAGCCCAAGTTGGAGGAGCTGCTTTGCAGGTCAGGCCGATGCTGCTTGAGGAGCACAGCAGGAAGGAGATCCCCCCCCAGCTGAAACAAAGCAGCTCCACAGGCAGGACATGCACAGCACCAGGAGTACTCAAATCCCACCCAGCCATGGCACTGGTGCATGCACCCCTCCAAGACAGACACCCTGCTGCTGCCACCAGTCCTTTTCCAGCCATCCCACCCATGCTTTGGCCCCAGTTTGGCATGGCCAAGTCTGACACAGCTTGCAGGCTTCCCCTTCTGCCAATCCCAGAAAGGCCTCCTTGGCTTCTGCTCACTCCAGCTGAGCAAACACAGATGCTTCTCTTCCCACCTATCTGTGAGCCTGCTCGGGGACATGTGCTCTCCTGCTGGCTCTAGGGCTTAATTTGCACCAGCCACCTTCTTTCTTCCCTTCCCTGAAGCCTCAGGCTGTGGCTGCTGCTCCAGGACTGGCATTGCTCATACCCAAAGGCACTGGGGCAGGCTGTCACCCCTGGAGCTCATAGGCAGCTCAGCCACATTCCCCTCCAGCTGTGCCCATATGGTATTGTGCCCTCACCCCCAAATCCAGCAGCCAAATGCTGCTGCCACCATTTAAATACTCCCAAAAGCAGGAAGACAATGGATGCTGCCCAGAGCATGGCAGTAACTGAAGAAATAATACCAGGAATGCCCAACACCTCCATTCCTTTAATCTTTGCTTCCATGCCTTGATACCTGTAGCATCACAACGCTGTTCAAATCAGCAGCTGCCCATCCTTTTTGACAGCGTGGCCAGTGGCCCCGCTAGCTCGGCCCCTCCATCCAGGGCATTGCCTTTCCAGCTAGGCCCTGGGTTTTCCTCACAGGCAGAGGTTTGGTGTCCTGGATGGCTCATCAGGGTGCCACTTTCTGAGGAATTATTAGTAAAAATGAATGGAAGGAAGGTGGAGAAAGGGACTACACAAAGAAGCAGCATCTCCAAAGAGCCTGTTGCTTGAAGGACGAAAGGAGAGGATGCTCTGGGGCATGAGAAGAGCGGTAGGAGCATGGAGGGGGGCTTGTTCCTTCCCTCCTGCCCTTATCCTGCCTGCGCAGGGACACTGCCTGCAGCCTGCTTATCTCCCATGGGGCCTCAACCAGGACCAGGGCCTGAGCCCTCCAGCCCCATGCAAATCCCACCCCATGTTCCCCAAAGTGCTATGAGGCTGTGGCAGGGCTGTGTGTCCCCAGGGATGGGACCAGCTTGATTTTGGGAACCACAAAGCCCTCCACTCCCCTCCCTCTCCTCTCCTGCCCTAGACTGACTCCACAAGAGCCAAAAGGCCTGGTCACTGGTAGTATATTTATAGGTCGATACAAATCAAATCAAAACCAAACCCAAAAAGTAACAACAACAAAAACATTTCTCTGAACGAGAGCAAAACAGGAACATTTACAAATAACTTCTGGCTCTGGCTTGGATCAAGTTAATGTTAAATAAAAAAAAAACCAACAAAAAACAACCAAACAAAACCCCAACCCCCCCCCCCCCCGATTATAAAAAAATAAGAATATACACATTCAAAGAGCTTATTACAGTATAAAGGCCCAAGGTGCAGGCGCCGCAGCCCCAGCTCCCCGGCCCTCGGTTGTCACCTCTCCAGGGCTCAGGCTCTTTGTGCTCAGCGCTTTTCCAGCCTGTGACTCACCACAGGGCTGGGTTCCCACTGCCGGCAACCCGGAGAGCCGGTCGGTCCCCATGCATCCCTCTCTCTGTCCCCATCACCTCGTACCTAAGTGATGCCCCAAGGGGCACGGGACGCCGGTGAGCCAACCCACAGCCAATGGCCTCCAGACCCTCCTCCCAGGAGCACAGTCTCCCAGCGGGAGGTGAGGATGGGGAAGATGAGAGAAGGGAAGCAGGGGATGCTGCCGAGCAACCCCATGGGGTACCGGGTCCCAGCGCTGCCCGTGGGGAGCAGGGGAGGCAGGAAAGGGGGAAACAAAGGAAGACAAGACAGAGCCAGGCCCAAACTCACCGCTCCAGGGATCACAGCAGGGAGAGGGCAGGACAGGAGGGCCCCACGGGAGCTGTGAGAACGGGTGCTTGTATATATGTATCTATATAATAGCCGGGGACGGGCACAGCATGGATATATTATATACACACATACATACAGACACACAGACGTAGTGGCAGGTAAGACTGAAGTAGGTGCCTCTTCCTAAGCCCCCGGCAGGGGCAGGACTGGAAATACATTTCCTAGGGCTTTACAAAGCCCCTCTTAGATACATTTTAGATGGTCCCACCAAAACAATATATCAAACAAAAGAAGAACACAACTCGAAGAGAAGAAAAACCACCTCCCCAAGCAACCAGCCAACCACCCACCCAACACAAACACCGTGAGGAGGAGCGAGAGCCTCTTCCCGCGCCGTCCTCTGCCCCCAGTGAGCGACAGCCACCGCTTGGGTTGATAAGGCACAGTTTGACAGCAGTGCTAATGGTCACGGATGGGCAGTGCCTGCTGCTGGTGGGCAGCTGCCTGCACACTGCTGTGTCCTGGTGGGCGCAGGGGCGGCTCTGGCAGCCCTGGGTCCTGTGGGTCTCAGTGTCCCGGTGAGCTCTTGTCCGGGGCGGGCCGGCTGTGGTTGGGGAGCAGGAGCCCCTCGCGCTGGGCGTGCTCCAGGATGGCCGTGTAACAGAAGTAATACTGCTCGGGGGTCTGGATGCTGAAGGCGCGCTGGGTCCGCATGCGCAGCACCGTCTGGTAGATGTTGAGCGTGCCCACGTCCTGCAGCTGCGACAGGCAAATGTCCAGCGCGCAGAAGGTACCTGGGGACGGCAACGGGGATGGTGTCGGCCACCAAAGAGACACTGCAGCCTCTTGGGAGAATCAGAGAGGGGCAGTGGTGGCCATCAGCACACCCAGCAACTTCCTACGTGATGCCATGGGCATCAGAAGCCAGCAACTAGTGCCCAAGAATGCTGGGCTGGGTCAGCCTGGAGAAGAGGAGGCTCCTTAAGGGGAGACCTGAGAGCAGCTCCAGTGCCTAAAGGGGCTCCAGGAAACCCGGAGAGGGGCTTGGGACAAGGGATGTAGGGACAGGCCAAGGGGAATGGCTTGAACCTGCCAGAGGGGAGACTGAGATGGGCTCTTAGGCAGAAGCTCTTCCCTGTGAGGTTGCTGAGGCGCTGGCACAGGGTGCCCAGAGGAGCTGTGGCTGCCCCATCCCTGGCAGTGTTCAAGGCCAGGTTGGACACAGGGGCTTGGAGCAAGCTGCTCCAGTGGAAGGTGTCCCTGCCCGTGGCAGGGGTTGGAGCTGGTTGAGCTTTAAGGTCCCTTTCAACACAAACCAGGCTGGGATTCTGCGATTCTCCTGGGCCCACCAAATCCTCATCCCCGCTACCCCATTACCTGTCCTGCCGATGCCAGCACTGCAGTGCACCACGACTGGGGGTCCCCCCGGGTGACCCTTGAAGCGAGGTCCCAGGGCACTGACTGCCACCCGCTGCTGCTGCTTCACAGCCCCCAGGAAGTCAATGAGGGTGGCAGCAGAGGAGGGGACGCCGTAATCCGGCCAGCTCAGGTACTGGAAGTGGGACACGAGCCGCCGCTCCCTGGTCTGGAGGCAAGCAGTGGGGTTACACCCTCTCCCCTGGCCATGGAGGACCCCCGGTGTCCTCCTGCCATCCCCTGCCAGGCTGCTGCAGCCACGCACCTCTGAGCTGTGGATCTCCAGGATGGTTTTCTTATAGTGGCTGAGGTTCTCCACACCCAGGTTGGTGATGGTCAGCGCCCCAAAGCACACCTTTGTGTCCTTCTCCAGGGGCCAGTACTGCCCACACTTCCTCCTGCCTCCCTCCTCCAGCCTGGGAGCAGCACAAGGATAAGCTGGTGAAGTCCTCCTCGCCTTACTTAGGGACATGTTCCATGCCACCCCCCTTTGGTCCCCACATGGGCTGAATGGCCTATTCCTGACGTGATGCCCCCACCCTGCAGGGCTCTGGCTGGCACCACGGCTGCAGGGTCACTGCAGGGAGTGCAGCGCTACCCATCCAGCATCAGAAATGCTCCTTTTCCCAAGGAAACCTGAACTGTGCCCCCCATGTGCACTC